CGATATATCATTCGGCAAATATTTGACGATGTTATTGCGATTGTGTACGTACATGTACAAGCTATACATTAGTCACGTAACTAGTGACAGATACAATTGGAAAGATAATGATTTTACATGAAAAAAATAATAAAAAATGTAGAATTAAATTTCATATCAGATGTTTTTTTCCGAGAAAATTGACTTTAAAATTTTAAAAATTAATGTATATTTAATTTTTGAGATTTTTATATTCTAACTTTGTCATGTGTTATCAAATTCATCTGGATTGTTAATAGATAGATATAAAAATATACAACATTCCACTTAATAAAACAATTAAAAATAATTTACTTAATATAGAAGAGGAAAAGAAGAAAATTTGTATAAAGTATTTAAATTTTATTTTTAATAGAAAAAATATTGTATTTTTACACATATTTTAATAATCATTGTCAAAATAAATTTGATAACAATGTATGATACAAAATTGATGCAGATTATTAAAATTTTAAAAAGCATGATATGCTATCAATTTTCCAATTTTTGAAGGTATAAGGATTTGTTTTCGACAAATTAATTTTATCGAAAACAAATCCTTATACAAAAAAAATGTATTCTACATTTTGGATGTATTTTTTCATATAGAATCATTATCTTTCGGATTGTATCATCAATTACGGAATACATTCCTCTGTATATTCCGATATTTTTCAAACGCAATATGCCGAGTTTAATCGATGTTATTTATTAACTATTTATTTATGCATTTAAGCTGTTATTTAATAATGTGATAATCTGTATAAGAAAATTATTGAAAATATATATTTATTTTATAATTGTTAATATTATTTTATAAATATATTAATTCTAAATTAAATTCGTAGAAATAGATATATTCAAGCTTCTGCAGATACATACGTAGATCCGACAAAATTTCAATGTTCTCTTCATTTAATAAAATTTTCGTAAAATTAAAAAATTCCTCACAATCGATGATCGAAAATGAAATAATAGCACGACGCAATATGGTATGAAGGCAAGAGTTTTGTAATATAATGCAACGTGGGTGTTTCATACAAGGACACAACGATTGTGTCGTGTAATTCTAGGCGGTATTGAAAGAGGAAAAATACTGACTGGTTTCGTGTACATTGTCTCAAATGAACGATATGACTATTTCTAAGCCTAATTTTATTGAAATTTTAAAACGTTCGCGATGATATGCATTTATATGATTTATATCAACATGAATCAATTCAATGCCATCGCACAGATATTAATTTTATTTATGTTAATATATTTCGAATAATTGATTTTTCATTCGCATTTTATTCTAAATATTATATATTAAAATAATTATAAATATTATAAATATTACATATTAAAATAAATATACTAAAATGTACACAAGATAAAAAGAAAATATATACATTAAAATATATTGTGCATTAAAAAATCTCGAGATAGTTAAATAACCACGCAACAATTTATTCGCCTATAAACGACGCGATCACGTGAGACGATACGTGTATTATGCAAGTTCCCGTTTCACCCGGATACAAGTGATGTACGACACGATGTCAGTTTAAAGGTCTTTTACCCGTAGAATCCCTCGATCCGAATCGACGATCCGAATATGCTATAAAGAGAGAAGCACGCATCGGCAGGAACGATTTCACTGTTTTTTTTATGGCAAGTCGATTGTATTTCGCGATACGCGGCTATTCGGAGCGACACGTTTCTCCATCAAGGGCACGTGCCCCGGTACCCGAGAGGCCCGAGAGATCGCGGGCCCCCATCACCTGTTGCAGGCAGGTGCGGGCGGCATTAAATAATGGGACCGTTGTAATATGCGCACCGGAAGAGTCAAATTCTCTTGAACGAGAAATACGGTTCTTCTTAAAAGAATCATTAAGGTCAAAAGTAAGTGAGCTTTCAATCAAATACCATACACGCAATACCATACAATTTAATATTTCCTTTTGTTTTTTACATTTTAATATATAAATATCTAATAATAAAATATCACATCATTTATAAATATTTTAGCGATTATTTATTTGTTGTATTTCACACGCTATCGTGAATAGCAGGTTTTTCGACAGAACGAAAATGGTAAGCAAGGGAGAATATTTAAAGAAAATATTTACTTGCATAATGATAAAAAATCATGTTATTTCCACAGAATAATTTATTAATTTTTGTATATTTACGATTTATTTCTGTGATTACTCCTATTTTACATGTAAATATTCTATATTTATATTCTCTACTGTGATAATAATACGGCACTATTAAAGATTGTTCTTTGACTCTATCAAAATTGTATTATTTATCTCATTAATAACGTATAAATTTAAATTGTAGTCTGCATTTGTTAAATTAACCATTGTTATTCGCAATTTGCTATGTGCAACGAATCGACTGGCGGTGCATTCCTTCCGGTGAAGCTAACAAGCTTGTTAGACCACAATTTCCATAGTCTGTAGCTGCCGACGCGAATCTAGGTCAAATCCCGGGTAAAATTCCTTTAAACTGACGTGTCATCATGTAATTTGTCAGTAAGCGCTTTTTAAATTTGTTTATCTATTCGAGTTTGACACTCCCCTTGCAGAATTTGATACGAAATACGACTAATTCGAAAATAATGTTACTTCAATCACTTTGTAATCGTTCGATTAAAATTGAATCCAACGACATTACTTTTCCCATTTTCTCACTAATACACACAGCTTTAGATACATCTTGAATTATGTTCTTTATATCTTGGAATAAAAATTTTGTAAAAAAAGTCTATTTGATTAAACAAATGTAATATATAAAATAATTATTATAAAATATTACAACTTGAAATGTGTGCGCCAGAAAAACGAAAAATGTGAAAAAGAAAAGTTCTTTTTTGCCAATTAAGCGCATAAAATGCCGTTAATATCTGCGTATGAATGTATGAAATCCCCAGCGATGTGAAACTCTCAGCATTATCTCGATTCGCGTCAAAGTAAGAAAAACGTGACTATATACCAGTCTACCATTATTCACACGAGAGCTTTAAGTATTATAATGATCATCGTCCTTACAAGTTACAGTGGGAAAAAGCTTCTTTTCACAGCTTCACGCGACAATTGACACGAAAAGATTCGTTATTCTAAAACTCTTTACGTGACGGAATTTCAGTCGTTCTAATTTATCGAGTGTGTCTTTATACAATGACTTTGCCGTTAATCTGGAAGAAAGACGCATATTACAATTAATTACTGCTTTATTGATTCGACGAGAGCGTTTCGAAGGCGTGATAAGCAGTAAACGACACCTGTTAAGCAATTAACTGTATCTCTGCGGTGTCATTGGGGGGGAGGGGGCATAATCATCATAAATTGCTGACATCTATTAATCAGAAATTCTGTCTTGCTCATCGCAGCGCTTTCTACGCGATGGAATTTGAGCTGTCTTGTGCAAGAAAGCTTCAGCTTGATGAACTATGAATAATGAGCGAAATGCAGGCGAGACAAGAGACTTAATTATGGTAAATTAAGTGACGAATGTAAAAAAGTGTCTTTCTCTAAATAAGTAAGGTGTCATTTGATGTATACATTTTTTAAAACCATTTTCCTATAAATGTCATCATTCTATAATATTAAATTATAATATAATTTTAATATTACATAATATTAAATTATAATATAATTTTAACATTATATTATAATATTAAATTATAACGCCACTTTTCGCGCGCCTCTTTAATATTTCTATTTCTCTGGATAAAGAGTAATAAGGCGCGGTAAATAGCGACGAATGCGGTAAATAGTCGACGAAGAATAATGTCTCGACGTCGTCGCGGAGACGCAAGTATACGCAACGTATGTATGTATACAATAGATGTATGCGGGATACATCGCACGCGCGATATTGTGTTTGCCCGGTATAATTCCACTAGTGTCACAGCGATATAGCCATGATAGTTGCATCATATACGTGGGCATCTCTCGTCAAAGTGTTTCCTCGAACGATGGGACCGACGTTGGAGCGCGTGCGAACAAGCGACCGGGTAAACGCGATCGATCTGACAGATCGATCGATCGTGATTTACGGCTTTCATAAATAATGGCTATGCCTTCACGCCTTCGAGCAATCCCGCGGGAATGTACATGCAGAGAGAGGGGGGGGAGGAAGGGAGGGAGAGAGAGAGAGACCGATCGAGTCGGCCAGCATGTTGAACGGTTATCGATCCGTCAAATTGTCGATTCCCTCCGTCGAGCCGGACACAACACCAGGCGCACAAATGTACCTATGCACGCGTATACGTGTACGATGATACGCGCGTGGGAGGCGAGATATTCTTTTCCGAATGCAGCGTACGGTAATGACGGCGGCACGATGATGATTAGGACGATGATTCGTTGGAATGCGACTCTATGTCTATACGCGTCGCTCCAACAGATGAGAGATTTGACACAGATCTTGGGACTCTATGGGGGATCTAATATTTAATAGGGTTAATCAGAGGAACAGTCGTGACACCGTAGCACTTTTTAATGATAATTGATGATTGTCGTTCTCTAGTGATTTATAACGTTTATTAAGGAAGTGATATCGTTCCCTTAATGATCTTCTTACGTATGTATCTTGTAATAAAATGTGTCGGAAAAAATTATGATCCGTAATAAATTTTAAAAATGATTTATAGAAAAATATTGCTATGAAAATATCAGAGATAAAAGATTGCTAAATTTCGAAGGAGACAATCTGCACGCTTCTGTTTCGAGTTGAGGCCTTTTTCAAGATTTTAAAGTTATCTTTGTAAAACAAAGTGCGACTTTTATCTGAAACATCTTTTTATAAAACTTACATTTTAAGATTTATGCAAAATAATAATTTTTAATGATTAACTAAAATTCTTGTCTATAAGATTATTAATTTTTCGAGATGCTGCGATATTTGAAAAAAAATTTCATTCCATGTTAACTCAATTTTAATTTGACTCACACATTTCAATTAAGAAAATATTTTTTCTGTTTCAGATAATGAAATAAAAAAGGATTGCATATAACAAGGATGATGACACAATCAAAATAAAAAAATCAAGGTAAGATAAAAGATAAAATAATTATATATTATCAATAATTATATTTGAATGCTGAATCCATGAAAATCTACAGTCTCGATATAGATATTATCTTTTAATTTACTTTCTACATTTGTGTTTGAATAAAATGCAATTGTAAATAACGTACGTCTCTGTGTAATTTACAGAATATCTAATGTGTGTAATACATTCGCGTGTCGATCCCCATAAAGATAATTAATTGCTGCGCGACTTGAGTAATCGTTCCTACTGTGATAAAATACTGGGCGCGTGCGCGACATCCCACATTACCCATTATTACTTGATTTATGTAAATGATATTAATATTGATGAAAATGCAGATACTTAATTAACTCGATATATTTAATTAAACCCGGCTCCATCGGGTGGCAATTTTGGCGGCAGGGTTCATTTTCCACGAGCCAGGAACCATTTTCCAGTTTATTTAGTCGATAACGGCTCCGATGCGTCGCGGTGCACCCTATGTAAATTCGGTTACGGTCGCCATGAGACATCTAACCGCGCGGACGAATGCGCAAATAATGCAAAAATAATTTTTCACGTGATTCGCATGGGATTCGTTAGCTTGCAACTTGCTGATCTCTCATTGAAATTAACGATGTGAATTATGCGAGAAAGAAAAGACCAAGTTTCTATTATATTTATTAATTAAAACTCATTTTATGTTCTCTTGGATGTACAAGGTAGAAAATTGAATTATCTTTCAGCATCAAATTTTCTGCAACGATAACAATATTTCAGACCATTTCGATTTAGTCACATCAGGTCCTTGGTTGCGTCACGCGGATAATAAAAGCGTAAACATAAACCTGTCCGTAATAAAATTCTGATTTCGGGATTAGCATTAAGCCGGGGCTCGCAAAAAAAAAAAAAAAGAAATAGCGAACGGACCGCATTTTCACGCGGCTTAGAATCGGTCTAGAAACACATAATCCTCGTAAATTCACTCTTGTACCGACCGACTGGCGAGAAAATGAATTCCTCGGGATTGAAACCTCGAATCGCACGATCAGGTCTGTGTAAAAAAATTCAGAAAAAGAGAAGGAAGAGGAATTACGTCCGGCGGTGGACTTCCTATTCCCTTTCCCTTTTCTACTGTGCTTTTTGCACCCACGCGTGAACGGCAGTGCACGTGTAATCCGATTTCAATGACGATATATACGTTAACGACGTTTGGCTGTCGCGTTGTCGGTAAGAAATGAGATTATCCTTTCCTTTTTCTCCACTTTATCCCGGTGAAGAGATATCTTGATGTCGAGCTCCGTGAAAAGCAGCGCGAGTTATGGGTATCCATCTCTTCGATGTATGAGAATCGATAATATTAGGTCAATCAGTATACATGCGATGCAATTGAATCTAATAGCGGAGCACAGCGGAGATAATGTATGAAGATTTACGCTACGATGCGCATAATGTATTATGCGAAATAACGGGATTGTATTACGAGCTGTTTATTTTTTTACAAAAGATTGAAATATTTGCAGTTTCAAATTATGCATAATTACGCAGCTTTTCTCCGAAAAGGTTAAGTTGAAGTAAACAAGAAAGTTCTTAATTTCAATATCTCTTCTTAAGTTAATTAACATAGTTTCTCTTATTCTACAATTCTTGATTAAGTGATGAAAAATATTCAAGTCGAAGAAAATAATTTAATAAAATATATTCTTGAGAAATGTTACATATATAATAGTGGTATAAAAGTTTATTACTTTGTTTTTTGGATAAAAGATATTAATAGAAGACAATTTTGTACCTTTGAGCGAAAATTCGTGCTGTTAAGGTTCAAACCAGGGATCAATTGAACCACGAAATCAAAATGGAAACTCGCACGGCACCCGTGGGAGATGTTCCCGTTGTCCAGAGGTCAAAGTGCACCGACACGGAGAAGCGCAGAGGCGTACAACGATGAAAGAGAAAAGCCAACGAGAAAGAGAGAGGGAGAGGGAGAGGGAGAGAGAGAGAGAGAAAGAGAAAGAGAAAGAGACAGAATTTGCGAAAGTGGCGATGTACAATTCGAGCGACTAGTTTCCAAACTGCCTGCAGCCTCGCTTAAGTCTCTCAATGATCCTTTTGTTTAGCCACGGGGGTGGCCTTAATGATCGCTTGTCCCCGGTAATGTCGCATTTTGTACGGTACATCCCCGCATCCCGCCTGTTCTTTAACTATCGTCGCCCCTTTCGTCGATTCCCAACTGCCTTTCTTATTGTGTCGCAATGAGTCTCTTTCTCTCTCTCTTTCCTTCTCTCTCAAGAAAGAGATACGCAGTCGCCACCGTCTTTCTCAGTCATTTACACAGTCTTCATCACCTCTAACGTTCTAAACATCATCAGCGTTTTGCTTCCAATTCCCTTGCGCGTTCCTATCATTTTGACAGAATCAACACAATTAGTTGTACAAATCGTAAAAAAAAATATATAAAGAAGAATATACATATATAATTTAAAATACTTCAAAAAAAGATGAAAAGTAAGGAAAAGTTGAAATGCACACATTTCACGTTTTTCGCTATTGAATATATTTCGTGGATTGATATAATCATAAAGATTTATAAAATATTACCGATATATCGATAAATAATAAAAGAACTTAATTTCAAGAAACGCGAATTTAATTTCGCTTTGAATTGAAAAATATCTGAAAATCAAATTTACCTACAATTTTGTATTAATCTACAGACGGAAAAATTCTTCCAAGATTAATATTAATCAAAAGGAAACGGTTTTATAACATAATTCAGATACGGTGAATTTATAGAGGGCACGTCAAGAATTCTAGGACTGCAACAATGATACTTAAAGCGTGCTCTCGCGTGTTTTTGCAAATGTTTTCGTTGCTCCACACATGCACCAAATTTCTTTCATACATTTCGCGCATACTTATCGCGGATTTAAGCGAAAGTTGTCTTCCTCCTTTTTCTCCTCTCCCTCGTCATCGCTATGTGTATCGTCATCCCCGTTCCCTTAAACTTTTCATAGCCACTCGTTTTTCCCGTTGAAAGAAAAGGGACGGTAAGCTCGCGTTCAACATTCTTATGTTAAGCGACGCGAGGTGCCATCGCGAATAAATTGCGCGGATAATTACGCGAAACAGTTTCTTTTTTGACCGAATCCATTCGGAATAATTTTAAATACGTCTCATTACGCGTCGTATGACTTCGCGAAGTGATCTCGACCTTCTTTTAATGGATCGTAATTTCGTACGCTAAATCACTGCTATAATTAAAATGATACACCTATATCTCACAGAAGATTACGTAGCTTTCCTTAAGTGAATGTTATTAATGTAATGCCAGCGGTATCACGAATATTATTCAAAAAATAGCGGCTTGTAAAATATTATTCAAAAATTGAGATTTTATTCGTAATAATTTCATTAGCAATTCTATTGCAAAATATAAGCGGCAGTAAAGGATAAACGTGCGCGTTTGCGAGAGTGTATATATTCCCTAAGGATTCGCGTTCTTTATAGGCAATTTTGGGGAAATATACGGGAAATGGGAAATTCTGAAATCCATTTCAACTGTCGCCGTCAGTTAAAGTGCCTTACGGCAATTCCGCGAATCCGCGAGCCTTGATGGAAATTCCGAAGGCGAAACGTCGCGATCGCGAGTTCGATGCCAAGTATTAATCGTCGGAATTGCTCGGGCGGATTGCGCGAAACGGCCGTAAAGCTTGTTTGCATTAGCAGTTACAGTTATTTACGTATGGATTTATATTGCCGCCATCATGTAACGTCGCCTGGTAATGGGGCAATTTTAATTTCGCGGACGCGATTTTCTAGGGCGACGTTTTCTTCGCGATCTCCATCGGACCATCTGTTTTCTCGTTACGTAAGACTCTATTCTGACCGATTATTTATTGCGCCGCTCCAATAGAACGAGCACGCCAGTACGAGAGAGCAGATTCTACAGTATATCGCGGAACAAATAAACCATTCCCTCTATTGCTAATCTTATCTCGGTGTATATGCTTGCTTCTCAATGAATCACACAATTAGCGGTCACGCGTGACGTTATTTGTCTCGTCAAATCTCCAACATGAAAACGTTTTCAACAATCCGGCTATGATATGTAAATAAATGTTTAGATAAAATCTGAATAATTGCACGGGAAAAAAATTGAAGGAATTAAACTCTGCGCAATTTTGATGATAATTTGTTGACCAATCTTTACATCGAGTTTCTCGTTAATTTCTCTCTCATTTTTTATACTGACGTCTAGTATTTTTGCACTCGCGGGTCTGACATTCGACTATAAATATTTAATAAACTCCACAAATCTATGTCATAACCGTAGCAGTGCCACAAAGTACATCAATTAAACATCAGCGCATTTCAAAGTCTGGTTCACATTATCCGCGTGTTTATTACCTACACTTTCCCAAGTTCTATTCTTCAACCCACATTTTAATCTCGCACCTCTTGTTACATTCCCGTACAATCTTCAGGCCTGAAGAATCCGGAGCAAACGACGCAATTTAGCGTTGTGCGTCTCAAAGAGAGCCAGAGGGAGGAGAACAGACGAGGGGGAGGGAACGCAGCGACAGAATCATGCGGCTTCGGGATGACGTCATAAAGCTTATTTATACAACCACACGTGTTCGAGGCATATGGTCACGGCGTTATTGCGAGTGCGCTACGCGCAATAGAGCTCCGAGTCTACGTTGCACGCGTGTGTATGCGTTCGTACGTGTGGCTTTTTTTTACACGCACGACAGGGAGAGAGAGAGAGAGGAGAGGGGGAGGAGCACATCTCTCACATGCGAGCACGCTTGTTCTGGGATGCGGGCTCTCCTCGTACAGGATTGCGTCACGCCGTTATACGTCGACGCGTTACGAAATCAGGGAAAATGTACGAGACCGCGCGTTTGAAAATATACACCGAGCGGAAGCTGACGAATGGCGACGCGACGCGCAACACGGGGAAAAACTAACGAGCCTGGGGAAGAGCGGTGCCGGAAAATGCGCCGCCGGATGCGGCG